GAGCACAGTGCACACACATACATTTCCTCAAAGGAGAGTGCTGATTTACACCATCCAAGGCATCTGGCCCAGCATGTAAAGAGATCAGTCTATCAAGCGAGGTGCGAGGAGGGAAGGCAGGACTGGAGGGAAGATCTCCATGTTCTGAACACTGTGGCTGCTTGCAGACTTTAAAACAAACAAGGAAACAAAAAATGGTGCTTTACTTTAAACTCGGTGCATTTCCATGCTAAGCCTAGTGCATGCCCAGAAGAGGCAGCACATTAGTTGGATCTGGCTTGTCCAATGTCTCTATAGATTGGGCACGTCAATGGGGATTTAATCTCCCCCTCCATCCCCTGTCCCACCAGCAGCTCAGGCCTGCCTGGCCAGGGCACAGCAGCCCTTGTAAGCCATTCCCCACCCCCCACTCCAGTGGCAGGGGAGGGAGCATGGCCAGAGCTAGCCAGCATGGCCCCACCATCCGCCTGACTCGCCTGAGGCTGAGGCTGTGGGGCTGAACCGGACTGGCCTGTGGGTGCTGCTGAGGGCAGACGTGGAGGGGCCAGCCCAGGTTGGGCCGCTGGGGCCAGCCCCTTCCCAGCAGGCTGTGGCTTGGGCTGGGACTGCAGGGGCTGCATGGCCAGATTGCTCCTAACTCCCCATGCCCAGGCCAGGCGGAGCTGTCAAGGAGCTGCAGCCAGCTGGGGATGGCCCTTTCCAGAGGCTGCGGTTCTGTGACAACCCAGCCCAGCGGCACAGGTAGGGTCTGGCTGAGTAGCAGGCTGCCCAGGCCAGCTCAGAGGCACTGGTGGACCCCGAGCTGGCCGCTGCCCACCACAGCCACCACCGTGCCCTCTGTCTTGTGCAGCACTCGGCACCTGCAGCTGCATCACAAGGTGCAGGCTGTTCAGGGCCGGCTGGATGTTTTGAACCCCTGACCTCCAGCTGCTGCTGCTGCAGCCCTTGCCCCTGCCACACTGCACCACTCTGGATGGTCAGGCAGGAAGCTTCAGCCCAGCAACTCCTGCCCTGTGCATGGCACTTTGGCTCCATCTCTGGCTGCCTTCCACCCACCGTGCCCACCCGCAGGGGCTGCTCATGACACTAGGCAATTGAAGTGGGTGGAAAGCAGCCGGGAGCTGGAGCCACTGGAGGTGAGGGGAAACTGGCTTGACCCAGCAGGGCTATTTTGCTCCCCTCACCTCCAGCTGCTGCTCCTGCTCCTTCCGCCTCATGCAGTGACTCTTGGGGCAGGGGGAGCTTTCTGCCTGCCCACCCAGAGCAGTGCAGTTCAGTGTGGCAGGGATGGGGGTGGCAGCAGCAGCAGCAGCTGGAGGTGAGCGGGGTAGAACAGCCCACTTGGTCCCAGCTAGCCCGCAGCTTGTGATGCGACTGCAGGCGCCAGGTGCTGCACAGGACAGAGGGTCCGGTGGCGGCTGCAGCAGGCGACTGCTGGGCTTGGGGCCTGCTGGCTCCACTGAGCCAGCCTGGGCAGCCGTCTGCCTGGCCAGCCCCCACCTGTGCTGCCGGGTTGGGCTGCTGGGCTGTGCCTTCCCAGCTGGCTGCAGCTCCTTGACAGCCCTACCCTGGCTAGGCATGGGGAGCCCAGAGCAATCTGGCTGGACAACCCCCATGGCCCCAGCCCAAGCTGCAGCCCGCTGAGAAGGGCCTGGCCCCCGTGTCTCAGCCCTGCCTGGCTCCTGCACATCAACCCTCAGCAGCACCCATAGGCTGGCTCAGCTCAGTCCTGCAGCCCCAGCCTTGGATGTATAGAAGGGCCATGCTGACTGGCTGTGGCCAGGCACCCCGCAACCCAAGCAGGAGCAGGGGGGAAAGTTGGGCAGATCCTGGCTTGGGGTCCCATGCCCACCTGGAGACAGGGGAATTTAATTCCCTCCCCACCCCCGTCTCCTGAGGCACTGCCCCAGCCGGTGTCTGTCCTTGGAAACAAGCCTGGCAAGGGCTGGGGGTCCCTACAGGTCAGGGTAGGAGTTTAAACCCCTCCCCAATCATACTTAACCCCTGCCAGGGGCCTGGCTATGCATCCTGGTCAGCTTCCCTCCAGTCTTGCGGCTGCTGCTGAAGGGAAGGGAGGGCTGCTCTAGCAACCCCTGGCTTCTAGCCTGACCCACTGCAGACATGTGCCTGCATTTCATAGGTTCATAGACATTAGGGCTAGAAGGGACCTCGGAAGATCATCGAGTCCAGCCCCCCTGCCCCAGGGGCAGGAAGTCAGCATGGAGGGGGATGGGGGACGGGACACACACACAAACATGATAAGCCCTCAAAAATGGCAGCTGGCCCTGCAATCTGCCCACAAAATTGGCTGGCTGCCTCCTCAAGTTGGATAGATCCCTAAGAATGAGCAAATTATACTGTTCAATGGCTTTAACATGGCCCAGTTCCAAAAGTGAATGTTTATTCGCTTGCAAATCGGTTCAGTCTTTGCAGGTTAGACTGACCTGCAGAGATTGAATCAATTCAGACTCCAGCTTTTTGAATGTCTGTCCCTAGTCCAAAAGGAAAACTACAGAAAATTCTCACTACAAGGGATAGTGAACACACCTGTGGTGCAGACCTCATTGATGATTTGCTAAGGTTCTTGTGGAGCCAGCCTGACTGCTCTGACTAGACTCACTCTGACCAAGCAGTTAGTGGTTTCATTGGCTGTGAATTCCTGGAAGGCTTTGCTTGCTTTTAAATCCTCTTCCAGAGGATATCTCAAAATTCCCATTTTGCTCTATCATCTGAGACAAACACTGTTGAACTACAGTTATGGAAAGAGACAAAGCTGCTCTCAGACAGCCTTGGAGAAGAAATATCCCCTCTGCTTCTGTGTGCTAGTGACCTCATCAGGAGTTTTTAAAATTGCACTGAACAGGAGTTGTCTTTGCAGATACTGCAGGTCTCTGCATGCAGATCCACAGCCCTGAACAGTATAGGAACAAAGCCCAAAGCACAGGCTCCTCAGCCTGGCTCTCCAAGCATTAGCACATTGTGGGTGATTTCATAGTTTCATAGTTTCAGGGTCGGAAGGGACCTAATAGATCTTCTAGCCCGACCCCCCGCCAGGGCGGGAGAACAACCCAAAAACACAAACAAAACCACTCACCCTAAAAACAAAAACGGGACTCAAATGAGTCCAGCCAGGTAAGTATCCAGCCTCTTCTTAAAGATCCCCAGGGTAGGGGCCAGCACCACCTCCCTTGGAAGTTGGTTCCAGCTCCTAGCCGCCCTAACTGTGAAGTAGTTTTTTCGGATGTCCAATCTGTACCTCCTCTCCATCAACTTGTGCCCATTACTCCTTGTTATGCCAGCGGGGGCTAGGGGAAACAGCGTCTCCCCCAAACCCTTCTGGTTCCCCCTAGTGAGTTTATAGACGGTCACCAGGTCCCCCCTCAGCCTTCTCTTGTGGAGGCTGAATAGGTTCAGGTCCCGCAGTCTCTCACTGTAGGGTCTGCCCTGTTGTCCCCGGATCATGCGGGTGGCCCTCCTCTGGACCCTCTCCATGTTGTCCACATCCCTCCTGAAATGGGGCGCACAGAACTGGACACAATACTCCAGCTGCGGCCTGACCAGCGTCGCATAGAGGGGGAGGATCACCTCCCTGGCTCTACTCGAGATGCACCTGTGGATGCACGACAAGGTCCGGTTAGCCCTGCCAACCATGACCTCGCATTGTCGGCCCATGTTCATCTTGGAGTCAATAATGACACCAAGATCCCTTTCCGCCTCCGTGCTCTCAAGTAGGGAGTTCCCCATCGTATAAGTGTGCTGCTGGTTCCTACTACCCAAGTGCAGCACCCTGCACTTGTCCGTATTGAAACGCATCCTGTTCCTGTTTGCCCACCCCTGTAACCTATCCAGATCCTTCTGCAATCTCTCTCTCCCTGCTAGCGTGCTCACCTCCCCCCAAATTTTGGTGTCATCAGCGAATTTAAACAGGTTGCTTTTCACCCCAACATCAAGATCGCTGATGAAGAAATTGAACAGCGCAGGGCCCAGGACCGAGCGGGGGACTCCACTCCCCACCTCCCCCCAAGTCGAATATGATCCATCCACCACCACCCTCTGAGTGCGACCCTTCAGCCAATCTGCAATCCATCTGACCGTGTAGGCATCTATGCCACAGTCGCCTAGTTTATTAATTAGGATGGGGTGAGAGACGGTGTCAAAGGCCTTGCTGAAGTCCAGAAAGACTACATCCACCGCGACACCTGCATCCATGGCCTTTGTGACCTGAAGGCCCCGACCTATTCTGGCTGCCCACACTGGCTGTTTAATCTGTACCAGCAGGTCCTCTGGATCCTACAAGGCCCTTCTGTTTTTTTGACTGACATCTGGCTAATTCCTGAGCCTAGAAAAAAATCACAAACCAATTGGAACCCTTAGGTCCATGTTCCTGAGAGATTTCTAAATTAAGAAGCTCTCTTTTGACCGTGACCAATTGGGGCAGGCCCTGTCTCTATTTCCACATATAGTACTTGGCCAAACTCACTGTCAGCACTAGTTCTTAATAGTAATAAGTCTGACTGGTGAAACTAAGCATCAATACTACATCCTGAAGCATTGCCAAAAAGGCCTCTGGAGTTGACTTTGAGTATGGTGACCAGCAGGGTCCCCTGCAGCTTCCTTCTGACCCATCCATTGGGTATGCTTCTTCTCTTGCCTTGACTCTAACAATAGGATGGGGATACAAGTCGGTCACTTTTCAGTGGTGTTTGCCAAAATTGATAAGAGCCACTGCTGGAGAACAGGAGGGCCATGGCTGTTCTGTTGGCAGGGAAGCTGACAATCTGCTGGTCATACACAGTGCGTGTCCCCATGGCTGTCTGACCAGGGGAGGCCTGAGTAAACTCCAGCAATGGAGTTGCAGGGGTTTAGGTTGTAGCCGTGTTGGTCTAAGGATATAGGCAGACAAGGTTCCTTGGGTGAATTTGATATCTTTTATTAGACCAACCCAAATGGTTGGAGAATAGTTATTAAGCAAACTTTCGGGTTCAAAAACCCTTCGTCAGGCTCAGGAAGCTGCAGCAGTTGGTGTGTGCCCTTCCTGGATGGAATGAAAAGCAATGGAGTTGGAGTCAAACAGTTGCAGAGATAAGGAAGAATTAAGGGTGGGCAAGGGGGAAAAGAGGCCTTTATTCCTGGGATTTGAAATAGAGGTGACAGGATAGGCCTTCCCAAGGAGGGAGCCACAGCAATTGTGTGATGGGCTAGAGAGGAGCCCAGAGCCAGGAGTAAGGGGAGGGGGGGCACTGCTTATATCCCAAACCACCAGGCAGTGGATTTACATCAGCATACATAAGCAGAATTGGGCCCAGGGTCCTTGGGGTTGAGGGAACAAGTCCATGGTAGGCTCAGAAGGATTTTTTTTTTACTCACCGGTGGTGAAATGAAGACCTTGTAGGGGTTGGGGAGGAGAGTGTAAGGATGGCTAAGTTGTGAGGCTGGCACCTGGGACAACAAGGGGAAAAACATTACACGTAGGCTGATATCTAGAAAACTGCTGAGCATCTAGGCCAGAATGCAGGTTTTATCTGTGACTGGCTTCCTCGCACTCGGTGGAGTTGGAGCAGGCAGTTAGTGCTGCACAGTGCGCTGCTCTGCTGCTCTACTGTGGTTTCATTTGGTTATTTCTTGGAGGTCTATACAGCCCATCCCTACAAAGGCTCCAGCAAAATGACTTGCAAAATAAGCAAACAAGAGAAAAATGCAGGAGAGACCAAATAACTTATAAAAGCCAATAGAGTTCTGTACGGAGCAAACACCCAGTGACTTGCCTGCTGAATGCCTGCTGAAATAGAAAGGACTTACAGCGCTTCCAGATTTCCAGGCTGAGGCTCTGACAAGCCTCAATGCATGGGGAGTTTCAGAACAGAAGAAAGATTACCAAGAACAGCCTCCTGTTTGTTTTCACCAAGCAAGGTTAGTGCATTGATGATACCTGGAGGAAGTTGCTTTTGATTGACCTTAGGGAATGCAGTGGAGCATAAGGGAAAAACAGCCCCTTAGGTACATAGGGGCCAGACTATTTTAGTACCTCATACTTCAAAACCAGCACCTTGAACTGTGCCCAGAAAGCTGTTGGGAGTCAGGGAAACTCTGGAGTGCTGGAGTTACATGATCCTGGAGACCCTCCCCTGACAGAAGATGAGCCTCAGTGCTCTTCACCAGCTGCAGCTTCTGGACATTTGTCAAGGGCAGCCCCATGTGAAACACATTGCAGTATTCTTGCCCCAAGGTTATCGAGGCAGAGATGATGGTGGCCAGATCAAAATCTGCAAGAAAGGGTTCTTTTAATCCAGGGGCGGGCAATTATTTCAGCTGGAGGTCCGCTTAACGAGTTTTGATGAGGTGTCAAGGGCCAAAAGGGTAGCCTCACCCCTTGGCAGGTGCCCTGCCCCCTGGTCACCACCTTGTGACCAGAATTCCTGCTCCCTAATCCCTGACCTTTGCCACTGGAAGTCTCTCCCCTTGCCCAGGAAGTTCTCGTTTTTGGAGGGGATTGGGGTTTGCTTATATTGTGGGGGGTGTGGTTGGGGGGGTGTTGTGGGTATGGTGTGGGTGTGTGTGTGGAGTATGTGGTGTATATGAGGGTGTGTGGGACTGGGTGGGTGTGTGTGTGGTCTATGAGTGGATGTGTGTGGAGGGTGTAGCATGTGTGGGACTGGACGCGTGTATGGGTATGGTGGGGTGTGGGTGGGGGTGTGGGGAGGTGTAGGTGTGTGTGGGGTGTGGATATATATGTGGATGGGTGGGGGTGGGGAGT